CTTCATACTCGGCCACGTTGTTAGTAACCGGGAATCCGAACCTTAGCGCATATGTATACTTCGTATCATACTCCTTCATGCTCTCGATGTCGGGATCGGCTGATGGTTCGGCTAATATGATACCGGCTCCTCCCCCTTCATCACAACAAGAGCCATCGGCGTATAGTAACCAGGCTCGAGGGTTGATGTTGACACGAGTAGCAGGAACATCCTTGGGTTTCACTTGTTCTGGGACGTTGACAGCTCGAGGCATTTCTACCAAGAAATCTGCATAGGCTTGTCCTTTGATTGCTGCCCGTGGTTTGTACTCGATGTGGTGTTCCCTCAGTTCGACTGCCTACATCATCATTCTACCAAAAAGCCTCTGGCTTGAGTAGGACTTGTTGGATGGGTTGCTCCGTCAAAACCATGATGGGGTGCGCCTGGAAGTACAGACGCAGGCGTCGAGCGGCTAAGACCAGGCTGAGGATGAGTCTTTCCATGTGTGTATAGCGGGTTTCTGCCCCTTGTAAAACTTTACTGATGAAGTAGACGGGGATTTCTTTGCCATCCTTACGTTACACAAGCATGGCTGAGATGGCTTTCTCTCGAGCTGTCAGATAGACATATAAAGTTTCTCCCAATTCTGGTTTAGCTAATAAGGGCAACTGCTTAAGGTGTTCCTTTAGGTCCTGGAAGGCTTTCTGGAACTCCTTTAGGTCCATTCAAATTTCCTACCTTTACGGAGTGTATGGAAGAATGGACGGCTTCTTTCAGCAGCTCGAAAAAGGAATCTGTTTAGAGCGGCCAAGGAGCCTGTGAGTTTTTGAACTTCTTTGACGGTTTTTGGTGCCTCCATGGCTAAAATTGCCTTGATTTTTGCCGGGTCAATGCTAATTCCATCCTTGGAAACCCGGTATCCTAGGAATTTCCTTGACCCGACATAGAAAGTAGACTTCTTAGGGTTCAACTTCATGTTAATTTTGCGTAAGATCGTGAAGATCTCTCGCATATCTGCGGCAACTTGCTCATCTTTGTTAGTCTTTATCACCATGTCATCCACGTAGATCTCGATGTTTCGGCCAATCTGATCATGAAAGGTTCTATTCACGTGCAATAAATCCCTTATAATAGCAATAAATCCCAATAAATCCCAATCTAGGTAATATAAGTTGTCTTCTCTGCATCCTCTCGTGCCATGAGGATCTGATGGTATCCCTTGTAATCATCAAGGAAACTGAAAGTTCTATATCCAGCAATACCCTCAACCATATGATCTATGACTGGTAAGGGGTGACAATCTTTGGGACAATGCTTGTTGAGGTCAGTGTAATCTTGGCACATGTGCCAAGAATTATCGAGTTTCGGCACTAACACTGGGTTGGCCAACCAAGTAGGCCACGGGACTTCTCAGAGTATGTTGGCACGGACTAACTTTGTAGTTTCCTTGTTGATGACGTCATTGCGTTCACGAGCAAATATCCTCTTCTTCTGCTGCATAGGTTTGACGTTCGGGTCGAAATTTAACTTGTGTTCCATAACCTCTCGAGGGACTCCCGTCATGTCCACGGGAGACCAAGCGAATATATCGCGGAATTCGCATAGCAAGGCACTAACCTCGGCTAGCAATGTGTCATGAAGAGAGACGCCGATTTGAATGGTCTTAGCGGGATCCGCCTCGTTTAGGATCAACTCTCGTGTCTTGCTGCTGAGTGGTGGGAGATTGGAGGTTTCGTGATCCTCCATCCGTGATGATACGGATGTTTGTTGGATTGAGTAACACTCTGACATAGCAGTACCTGGGTTAAGTTGCACAGCCTTTTTCCCGATTCTAACTGCTGTGAGCAAGCATTCTCGAGAGATACACTTGCATCCTTATACCTCCAACCCATACTCTATTGGGAACTTCATTACTAGGTGATAGGGAGACCAGACTGCACGTGTCTGGCACATCCAGGGTCGTCCCAGAATCACATTGAATGGCGAAGGTGCATCTATCAGAGCGAAGTCCATGGTTAATGTGACCGTCCTTGGATGCGACACTACCGAGATGGGGAGGCTAACTATTCCTGTTCGAATAATGGTGTGGCCCGAGAATCTCATGCTAGGCGGATGCTAGGATTCTTGATATTCATCTTCTTAAAGCAATCGCTATATATGATGTCGACCCCGCTGCCATTATCCACATAAAATCTACCGACCTTCACATTTGCAATTATTGCCTCGATAACCATGTCATCGCTATGCGGGCAAGTATCCGGAACCACATCGCTATCCGTGAATACGATGGTCTTTGTGACGGTCCGCAAGAGTTCTTCATAGCCGTGGTAGACAAGACCTCGAGGGGCGCTCCATAAATAGCCCCTACCTGATGAGTGATCTGCTTCGTAGGATCCGCCAGGGGAGTTGCTGGAGTGGTTGCGGTGTTCCTTCATTAATTTCCTGAGGCTGTTGTTGGGTATTTGCTCTCGGTTGCCAATTGTTTTCCTGGCCATCTCCTCGCGGGGGGCCTTTGAAGTTCCTTTTGGGGTAATTTCGTGATAGGCCGGGCTTGTGGTTCTTTTGCCGAGAGGATCCTTGTACGTATTGTTGAAATTTACCAGACTTAATCCCGTTCTCGATTTCCCTGTTGAGTTCTCGATAATCCTCCGTATCATGGCCGTGATCTTTGTAATATTCACAATACTGTTCCGTTGACCTATTTGGATTAGACGCCAAAGGTTTCGGGGCTGGTAATTCGTCTTTGTGGATCTGGAGAATTTCTCGCAGCGGCTTGGTTAGGGGTGTTAACTGCCTATCCATCTTGGGCAACGTCGGTTTGTTCTCCATGGGAACCTTCGATCTGTCTCTTGGTCGTACCAACGCAAAAGATTCTTGGGATCTCTTAAGTGTATGCTCTTGTTGTATATGATTCTCGACAATGGCCCACATCTCCTGAGCATTCTTGGGGGGATTAGTCGAGAGCTTGACCCGCAACATTGACGATTTTCCAAAAGGGTTGAGACCTTGAATAAATCTATTGCGCACATCTCGATCATCAATGTTGTCGACTTGTAAGCTTTCTTGTATGAACCGTCTATGGAAGTCGGTGAGACTCTCATATTGTCCTTGCCTGATTGAAGAGAGATCAATGGACATTCACGATATTCATTTACTCTGAAAGAATCGAGTAGCTAGTTTGACGGATAAATCTTCAAAACTAATTACACTCCCTTCTGGCAATTGCCCGAACCGTCACTGTGCAGACCCCGCCAAGTAAGAAGGTAGGGCTTTGGCCATGAAATTTATAGTTGTGTTTCTAATTCTCATGACCTGGACATACCCTTGCAGCCATTGAGAGGCATCCGTATCTCCTGAGTATGGTTTAAATTCATTAGGAAAGTCAAAGTCTCGGGGCTTAGGTTCATCTTGAATGTCAGGGATAAAGGGACTCCGATCTACCCCTATTCCAATGATCTTCCTCATTTCTTCTCGAATCAAGACATTCTGATCTCTTGTTCCCTTCTGATCTCCATGGAGGTATGGCGGATTTTCTCTATGCTTGTTATATTGCTGATGTCTGGGAGGTGAGTACTGAGGACGATGATGATATCCTCGGTCATGATAGCCCTCGATGTCGTTGTTACCTTGATATTGTCCATAGCCAGGTCTATACTCTTCTCTTCGAGGACTTCTTCGATTTCAATTAGGTCCCAGGCAGTCGTGCACGTTAGTTCGCCTTGGAGGATTCCATTGTCCTTTTTCAATGACCTCGATACTCGGGGAACCATGATTTTCTTGAGCACCTTTGCGCCTGTATATTGTGTCAAATTCCTCAAGGGCCATATCGAATGTTGGGTATCTTTCACTGAAAGCATTTCAGAATACGGTGTCTCAAGTGGCGGTTGAGCGGTCTTCACGGAGGTCTTCATAACCCTCAACTTCTTGGTAATCCTCGTTCTCTTGGACCTTCCGCTTCCCCCGCTTCTTCTCGAGAAGGGCTAAGGTTTGGCGAGCTTCTTTCTCTTCGATCAAATCACTCAACTCCTATTCTGTGGGATCAAGTTTTCTAAGGAGACAGCGTCGCGTGGTTTCCTTGAGGACGTTGATCGCTGTCATCTCTTAGCTTCTTGAGTCTTGCCTCGATCTTGGCCAGCTTCTGATCCTCCAAGCGTTTCTTGACAGCAGGGGTATTTCGAGGAGAATGCACCTCCTCCTTTTCGGGTGGATGATTAGCCTTGTCCTGCTTCTTCGTATCTAGCCGGGAAGAACCAAGGACCAAGCGTTCTTTTGCTGGTTCTTTTTCAGGTCCTCCGTCATGGCTCTTTCCTGCCTTCTTCCTTTCTTGTTTACGTTGAAATTCTGCTAGGGTGGTGTTGTCTCCCGGACTATGTCGTCTGTCGGAAGATGCTGTACTGCTGGTGTCTTCTTCAACCCTGATCATTGTGCTGATTGTTCCTGCAATCCTAGATTTCACCGGAAGATGTTAAGGAAACCTTAGAAGGTTTTCATGATACAAATCCTAGTTTTCGGGTCCCATCGGGTGTGCCACTTAACGAAACTTGGTTTTACATCGCCGGTCTGACAGTGGAACTCCGGTTAGGGTTTTCTGCAGCCTCGTGGGTCTCCCGAGGATAGACACTCCGATGCTTAAGTCAGTAAAGGGTTTTAAGAACGTCTGAATGCGTAGTATGTTAAACTAGAGATTGCGTACCCGTATTGTGGTGTGACCAACCCTATTTATAGGCATGAAAGCGCCTGGGAGATAGCCGAATATTACTAGGTTTCGGGCTACCTAAATCGCCTTACTAGAGTTGGTTGGACCTCCTATGCGGTTAATGGGCCGGTCCAATGTCAGTAATGGATATGGACTCGTCAGTGGTAGCGAAAAGGATTAGCCGTTGCCGACGGTGTACACCTGCAATATGAAGAAAAAAAAAAAAAAAGGAATTTGATGGAGTTTTGATCCGTTTGTCTCACTTGACCCGTTACTCGTTAGCTTCAGTGTTTTTTTCCCTCTTTTCTTTTCTTTATTAAACGCAATTTATGAAGGTGCGTTTTCAGTTTTTTCCTGAAAAAATAATTATCGTAGAATGAAGGTGTAGAGAAACTTTGTTCGTTCTCAACTTCTCATAGCTCACAGTTTCAAAAAAAAAAAAAAAATTTCTCATAGCTCGGAAGCTTAATCATGCGTTTAGATTCTGCGTGTATTTATATTGAGATTTTCAGAAATACTGTTTCATTGAGATCCATATCATTTTGAGGTTTAGCAAGATGTTTTTTTGCTCCTTCAATTTACCAAAAAAAAGGATGAAGTTCGAAGTTGCTAGTTCTCAGAAAATTCTCATCAGCAAAAAATTTCACTTGTTGCAGTTTCAATTCGATTCCACTGTCCAGAGCCCCAAAACTGAATTCTCCTCTTTGATTTCTCAAAAACCCACAAGAGTAAAATGTAATCTTTGCTCAGTTTAGCCTGCCCTGAGTTGATTCTCCGGCTGGGCTTGTGAGTTTGAAATTCGAATTACCCGACAGTGACTCAGATTACTAGCGCACAGAAGAAGAAGGTAATGATGTTGCCTTCGGCTGATCAGAAGAAGAAGGCCCTTCACTCGATTTTAGCATCCAGGCTCAGCAACTTGAAGATCCCATCTTGTTCTACTTCTTCACCGGCTGATTCGGACCTTGATTTCTCCGAACTTTTTGGCCCGGTTGCTTCTTCGCCATCTCCTTCTGCCCTGTTTCTTGGTGACCCACAAGTCATTCATAACCGGTCACACTCTTTTGTGGGTCCTTCTCCTCGATTCACCCTCTCAAAGTCCCTTCCTTTTCAGGAAGAACTTGTTTCTGAGAGTGATGATGAGGACGAAAATGAAGTTGTGGAGGTCAGTGCGAGCCCTCGGGATAAGGAGGTGGAGGAGGTGGATGTTGGGTTGGGAGTGAAGAACATTGCTGAAGTTAAAAAGATTGGACCTGGGGATTTTGAAATTCTGAGGGTTATTGGAAAGGGTGGATTTGGTAAGGTTTTTCAGGTGAGAAAGTTGGGCTTGAATGGAATGTTGAATGATGGTGATGGCATTTTCGCAATGAAGGTGATGAGAAAAGATACCATTATAAAGAATAATCACGTGGATTACATGAAAGCAGAGAGGGATATTCTCACAAAAGTAGTTCATCCCTTCATTGTTCAGCTTAGATATTCTTTTCAGGTGAGTCTGCGGAAATCGTGCTTTATATCCTGCTTTTATGTAATCTTGGATTTGTGCGTTCATTTCTAGTGTTCTGAAGATTGTTTATCATTCTATTCAATGCATTGCATATTGGTCTTGCTGGGAACTGTTTTGTTTCTCTTTGCAGGGAAAAAATTGTTTTGTATCAGTTTGATTAGTCTGAGTCATTGCTGTAGTTGTGTCTAATCTTTGTTCTGATGAGGAAAAAGTTTGCATCTTTTCCCCCTCAATAAAATGCCAGAGGTGAACCAGTAAAATTTTTAGGAATTTGGTGTTGGTTTACTTTTTGTATCTTTATGGTTTAGTCTATCATGTAATTCAAATAGTTACAAAAGGGGATTTATTCTTGCATAGAAGATGATGTGCTCAGTGGACAATTTTCTCCTTTAATTCCTTGCCTTTTGTACATGTTGCCCTAGTTCTTATCTTAGTTTATTTATCCTGGTTCGGCGGTCTCAGTTCATTTTCTTCCATTGCACTTCTTTCATGCTTCCCTGTAAAGTACATAATAACATTTATTTTCTATGTTTGGTTCTTCTGATTTAGTGCTTTGCTCGCTGAAACGAATATGTAAAGTTTACTCCTTTTCATACAAAATAGCCTACTTTTAGTTTAAGAAAAAAGTAACTGAAAATGGTTGTTGTTGATGTGTGGAGCACCATATTTCTAAGTTGTCTCACTGTCATCATCTCAATGTTGACAAGGAGGTGTGTGGAACAGAGTTTTCGGCTTGGTCCTTGATCAATTTGCAATGTATTAGGTATGATTAGCTTTGGTTCCTTGGTTGCCAACAGTTTGGTGCGAAATAGATATATGCTACTTATCTGGAGCTTCTCCCTAGTTTAAGTGTCTCTGTTGTATCTTGAAACACGTCTCAGTATCACAACATCGAAATTAGGGTATCATATCAGATCCAAAGTAGATAAACATATTTTTGAAATTAACATCACAAGTCACAACAGTCATGTTTGAAATTATTTGCACTGTTAGTTTTTTTTTGGTTATAATTTGCACTGTTAGTTCAGTATTTGCTACCTCCATGATTAACTTTATGGTGGTGGTTTTCTGATAATCTAACATTAGGTTGACGTGGTCACGATAGGCTATTTCGTAGCATGATGGATTCCATAAAATGATAAATATTCTGCACCCGGTAACATGTACAGTGTACTCCTGTCAAAAATAAACCAACGGCTGCATGCCTAAGAGGTTGTGTTTGGAAAAGTTTTTCCTCTCAGCTTTACATTGATTGATTTATGAAAGAAGCTGAAACTTATCGCTTGTTTGGATGTGGTCAATATGGTGATTTCTTTAGTAATTTACTCTTCCTTTCCAAGGGCATATCAGTGCCTGGCTTATGGATTTTTCGTTAGTTGTAGTTGTAAGTCAATCTTAGAATTTTTTTGCCCATATTTATGTTCTCTATTTCGATATAGTTCCAACACCCCTGCCCCCCCCCCAAAAATTCCCTTTACTGAAGATGCTCAGAAATCAGTTAATTCAAGTGCAAAAGATGTGTCTTATGATAACATTATTAATAAAATAAAATAAAAAAAAGTCAGGCTTATGCTTATTATTACTTCTCTTCTGGTGACTTGGAGTTATCTATGGTTTCGTGCATACATATCCGAAAATTATTAGTTAATTTTTTAAAATTATTCATTGCGGATTCAAGTGTTAGGGGAAGCAGTGTGTAATTAGCGAAAGCTGACAGTAGTCCTAGAATATAATGAGTTTTCTTTGGTTAGTTGGAATGTTTCAATTAGCTTACACCAGTATTTCCTGGGAAGTTATTCTTAACTGTGGTGAATTTCAGAGTTGAGTTTCCAAACTCTGTAGAAGAAAATACCAAAGGAAATGCCCGATTTTGGTTCATATATGCTGGATACTCTTTAAGTATCAACCATGTGATCATTTTTGCAATCCAGGTCCTTGGATTTTTGAAGAGAAAATGGTTAACTGCTACTTTTGAATAAAGTAACTGACCTTCAATGGTCTCTTTACATGGCATAAATTCAATGGCAGAGAGAGACAGTGTAGGCAAAGCATTGAAGTTAACAAAGACACTTCATTTGCGAGAGTCTTAACTATGACAAACCAAGTGGGCAAGGTTCTGAAGATTTTATTAAATTTTTTTTATAGGGTGTATCACAAGAATTCATTTTCCTTGTCTTATACGTCAATCACGAACCATCTCCTGTGATGATGGTAATGATCAATTAGAACTTTTGGATGGCATTCGTTTTCAACTTATAATTGATTAGTTTCTCTGCCATTTTTTTTTTAATTATTTTTTTATTTTTAGTTTCTCTGCCAGTTTTAATAATGTTCTTTGATCAATATTAAAAATTCGGAAGTGTAGGTCTTTATTCTGTTGTTTGATAACTTGATTCTTTTATTGATTTTATTGTTGTTCGTATATTTTTCATGGTTTTCTGGGTTTCAGTTCTCATAGCATAGATTGAATCTCATGGAGAATCTGCAGCTATGCTATGCACTAATATGTGGTTTTCGTCATTGTAGACAAAATCTAAGCTTTACTTAATCCTGGATTTCATAAATGGTGGACATCTTTTCTATCATCTTTACAGACAAGGGATATTCAGGTAATTTCGTTTGATTAGGGCAAAAAAGTATTGAAATTTGATTGGTGATCAATTTATTTTACAGTTATGGACCATGTTTTATGTAGTGAGGATCAGGCAATGGTTTATACTGCTGAGATAGTATCTGCTGTTTCACATCTTCACAAGTGCGGCATTGTGCATCGAGATCTTAAACCTGAAAACATTCTCATGGATTCTGATGGGCATGTAAGGATTGTGACTTTATCTATTGCTAACAGTTTTACAGAATAATCATTGTTGCGGGCAATAAAGATACAAATTGACTTAGAATAAACTTTTCCTAGGTTATGCTTACTGATTTTGGACTGGCCAAGGAAATTGATGAATCAAGTAGATCAAATTCCATGTGCGGGACAACAGAATACATGGCTCCGGAAATCTTGCTGCGGAAAGGCCACAATAAAGAAGCAGATTGGTGGAGTGTAGGAATTCTTTTGTTTGAAATGCTTACTGGAAAGGTATTATTTCTGGAACATCTACTTGCATATGTATCGCTGTTGCAATTCTTTACGTTTGAGTGTCTCAAGTTTTGCTTTATATATGTCGTAGAAATAACAAAAGGAAATTGGAACTTCGTGTGAGAACTTTTTACTTGTTAAAGAGGGCCTCGTGTTCTGGTGCAAACTGATGAATCTCTTAACTTGTGTGGTTGAGAAATTATTTCACCACAGTAATTTGTTCTATTTCTTCAGATGTGAGAACTAGAAAGATTTGAGATATTTAGTAAGAGTTTTTGTTTTATTTGTAATCAGTTTTACAGTCTTGGCCCTCTGATGTTGTCCATCGTTGTTGTTCTAATCTAGTAAAGGGCTAAGGGTCTTGTCAGGTGTTTCTTCGGTATTTGAATTGTCCATGATTACTGACTAAAGAAATGACATGTATCATGTATCTGTGTTATGCTATATCCTACCAAAGCCCCAATGTGGCGGTGGCATATTGTGATCTACAGTTTTGGTATCATCTCATCCACTTCAGTCCTGTATCCTTCGAAGCAAGATCTTCAACAAAAGTGACAGTGATTTCATCTAATACCCTCACGTAGTGAATGAATGAATGAAGTTTAATCTCTTTCCAGGGATCAGATATAGTCGTCTCGACAATATCAACACTACATTCCAACTGCTGTAGAATACTTCACTCATTGTAAACTCTTTCTGAGTTTGCGATTATATTGTCAGATATTCGTCTTGATTATATAAAGTGACAAGCTGTTCAAAACATTCTGTGTAATACGGAAGCACTGTGTTTCTTTTCAGCCACCATATTTTCATTCCAATAGGAAGAAGCTTCAAGAGAAAATCATCAGTGAAAGATTGAAACTTCCACCTCGTCTGAGTGGTGAAGCCCATTCCCTGCTTAAAGGAGTATGTTCAAAGCTCTCTTCTTTCATATCGCTTGTTTTTTGTGGTTATTTGTAACATTAGGTATCTTACATACTGCTGCCACCTTGATGACTTGTATGTGCTACAGTTGCTAAATAAAGACCCATCCAAAAGATTGGGCAGTGGGCCGAAGGGAGGAGACGAAATCAAGGCTCACAAATGGTTTCGGTCAATCAACTGGAAGAAATTAGAGGCCCGAGAACTTCAGCCTAAGTTCAAGCCAGATGTTACTGGCACAGACTGCACTGCAAACTTTGATAAGTGCTGGACTACGATGCCTCCAGATGATTCGCCAGCAGCCACACCAACCTCAGGCGAGTTTTTCCAAGGGTATACTTATGTTGCACCTAATCCATGGCTCTCCTCTTCTCAATGAAATATTTGTCCTGAAATAGCATTGCCTTTTAAAATAGTAATCTATTAATGTCTACCTCTGTAGTCTCGGTGCTATTGATAGTTTGTCAACTGTAATTGATTTGCTATGACAGTAGTTTAATGATGTGACGATTCAAGTGTAGAAAAGGCTTTATCGAAAAAGGGTCACAGAATTTCAATCTTGTGCATTAGAATGAATGAAGAAAATTTCTCAGCTGTAATTGATTTGCTGTGACAGTAGTTTGATGATGTGACTATTCAAGTGTAAAAAAGACTTTATAGGTAAAGGTTCACAGAATTCAATCTTGTGCATTAGAACGAAAGAAGGAAATTTCTACACAGATTTTGCTACGCATCATGGATTGTGCTACAAAATTTTAATGCTACAGATGCGTATAGTGAATTTGATAGCATTCAGGTTTATAATTTTATTTTACTGCGAAATTAGAAGCTTCGGGTTAAATAGCATTTCTCCAATGCCTTATTGCCATGTTCGAGAAGTCTCCATCTTCATTTGTACTCTCTTTGGCTGGATAGTAGCATCATATATTCTTCATATATACTTTCTTCGGTTGGATAGTAGCATCTTAATACCGTGGCGAACTTCCCGGTAGTGCAGCTGTTACCCTTTCCATAGCCGGAGGTGAACGTCCCTCGCACGATCTTGTTGACATGTTTGCTTGACTGTATAAATTGAACTGGGTGTTTCAAGGTGGAAGTAGCGAGTGCCTCCTTGAAGATTGGTAATGGTTGTTCTTTGGGGTAGATGAACCCTTGATTTCAGTAATAGAAAGTTTTGTAAGATATTAGAAGGCTTTGCTACTTAGGATCGAGAGAATAGAATTGTACAATCTGTTCTTGATGAAGTACTTTAACGGCTGAAAGCAAACGTAAGTCTCTGCAATAATAGAAATGATATGACAAGGACATATAAGAATTCTATTGGAAAAAGAAAGAGTGAAATGCAGCATAAAAGTATTGCATTTGGTCACTACATCAATTTATGTCCAACGAGATCATCATGGTGATGAATAGAGGACAAACGAGGTCATTTTGCAAGATAGTGGTAGTGATGATGAAGTCGTCGTTGGTGAGTATGAGGAATTGATGGATGGAAAAACTTCTGTGAATGGCATCCAAGATGGGTTAGCCGGAGAAAATTCTATAAATGGTGCAGATCAAACTGAAAAAGGCAGATGCTTCTGGTGATATGGGTTTCTTCCAGTTTTGAGTCTATCAGACAATGACGATCTCTATGGAGACACAAGTGAAAACCAATAAATTGGATGCTTCTGTTATAGTGCTACCAGAGGCAGTTGTTATATTCTGATGGTAAGTATGCAACACTCCCCTGGAAGAAAGTAGGAATCATGAACTAATTCAAATTACAATAAATTTTCCTAAAATGGCAATAATCTCTTATCTTCAACAGCTTTTTTAGTCCCTGCCATAGGCAAAGGTTGTTCAAGCAAAAATCTGTACCTATATCCCTAACTTGACTTCCCAGTTATAGTGGAACAAATGCATTAACATCATTATCACCAGCATAAGTCAATTTCCCAGGTAAAGTTCACTGGGGAATGACCACTCTCGAAAAAAAAAAAAAATCAAAGACATGTTATGAGGCTTAAAATTCATGGCCAAATTTCCAGGGTCAGATGTAATTATACAAACAGTGCAAAACAACTGCAATGCAAATCCCCATTGAAATTTGATAAGCAAACATGAAATTTTCAAAACTAACAAAACCAACGAAGCCAAATATCTTAAGCGTAATAAACAATTACACATTGTTTGCAAACTGCCAATCCACAACTTCATGGTGAATTTGAGGATAGAACAAACAATAAGTCCCAACACAGCCTCCGTTCTTTGTACTAACACACAATTTAGGATAGGAAATGTGAAAAAGCTTAAGATTAATATCCCTCCAGGTTTACACTGCCCTGTCACCACTTTATCAAAGCAGCATTGAAGCAACATTGATCCACGAAACAAAAACTTAATACTCCAAAAAAGAATGTCATTACATTAAACATACCATTATTAATTGCAGCCCTTTCAAGAAAATTTGAGTTGACAGGATTGAGAGGTTCTGCGGAACATCGATATCTTCTCGATTATGAGCGACTTCTTCTTCAAATCATCCGCAACGATGGAGTTTAAATTCACACATTTCAACACAGCACCATGCTTTAGTATATACTTTATCAGTCTTAACTCATCTTTAAGGCCTTCGAATCCACTGAATGAAACTTGTGCCAGACTGTGTGAAAGGCATTCCGGGACCTCGGAAGGTTTCATCCAACAAATTTCATCCTGCGCAAAATTTATTCTGTGACACCATTTTGTGCTGTGTAGGACTTGTAGTTTTATCGAACAATCCAGCAAGTCATTCAGGAAGCTCCACTTGTAGCCGCGGCCGCCCTTGCAGTCCAAGTACAATCTGGTTAATCTCTCAAACTTCGCTGACAGTCTAGTAGTGGCATGGGTAAGAGCCAACAAAGTCCGTCCGGTTAATGTCAGCAACTTGGCACAATTCATCGCTTCAAGTTGCTTAACAACCAAATTGCATTGATCGATATCACAGTCCCAATCATACAGATTAAGCTTTGCTTGACTCAAAGAGGATAGCCCTTGTAATGAGAACATCCGACAATTCATCTCTCGGAAAGATGGTTTCGAGAGCAGGGGGCTTCAATTTTCAGATGCTGCTGCTTGCAAGAGGGATCATCATCATTATCATCATCATCATAGAATTCCAATTTAAGAAATCTAAGTGAACGGGAAGATTCGGCACAAACGAGCAAACCATCGTTGAGGGTCCTCCTCCGAATGCTAAGCGAATAGAGCACAAGACAACCAGGTACAAACTCGTGAAAAGCTTTGTCAGATTCATATATGTTGTGACGGAAAAGGTATAAACACAGCAAACCAGTAGAAAGGATTCCCAAAAAAAATTCTTTTTCTACTGCCAATAAAATAGGACAACCAAACAAGTAAAATAATTAAAGAACTGGAGGCATACGAATTTACGTGGAAAACCCAAATCGGGAAAAACCACGAGACTGTAACTACAGTCAAATCTCCACTATCACAATAATGAGAAACAATCTTCACCAATCGGTGAATACATAGGACTTCACCCAAAGGTAGATTACAATAATACTCTTCCACACACACCTAAACCTCAAAGTAGGATTGAAGGATCTTACCAAAAGAGAGCTAAACTGAAAACTAAACCGGAGGATTTGTAAATCTTGTTGAAAGAAACACACATGGAAACTTGCACCAATAACTGACTCTGTTTCGTCACCGATCAAAGCCTTAAAGTGAAACACTTTCTTCTCGCAACACTTAAACCTCAAAACTAGCTTTTCACTCTTTTTCTCCCTCGCACAAAACCAATGTGCGGCTGCTGCTTTCTTTGGCCGAAATTCACGTCCAAAAGCACACCTCCAAAGCTTCTGCGGAGCCTTGCTTTTATAAGCATAAATAACAAACCAAATTGGAATGGGTTGTTTCCCTCGGTCAACTCCAAAACCAAAGCCTAATTAGGCTTAGTTTTGTTTCCTTTTTGTTGGCCCAATTGGAGGGGAACCGGACCCAACAATCTCCCCCTTCACCTCAATTGGGGGGGGTAAAACCAAACCGACTTCCTGTCTACAAAACAGGAGTTTATCTCTACTCACAGTCTTCGTCAACATATCGGCACCGTTGTCATCTGTATGAATCTTCTCAAGAAACAATGCCTTGGACTCCAACATATCTCGAATCCAATAATATCTCACATCAATATGTTTTGACTGCGAATGAAATGTGAAATTTTTCGCCAAGTGAATATCGCTCTGGCTATCACAATACACCACATATCTCTCTTGTTGCTTCATGCCAAGCTCTTGTAGAAATTTCTGCAACCAAAGTGCTTCCTGTACAAGATTCAATAGCTGCGATAAACTCGGCCTCTGTAGTAGACAAAGCGACACAATTCTGCAACCTACTCTGCCATGAAACTGCTCCCCTCCATAAGTCATCAAGTATCCAGAAGTAGACTTCCGACCATCAAGGTCATCCGCCATGTCAGCATCTGTATATCCATCCAACATGGTCTTCCCATTGCCAAAGCAAAGACTCAATCTAGAAGTACCCCTAAGATATCTCAGGATCCATTTCACAGCATTCCAATGCTCCTTACCAGGATTAGAGAGAAACCGACTAACAACACCAACTGCACGAGCTATGTCTGGCCTTGTGCAAACCATCGCATACATCAAGCTGCCAACTGCCGAAGCATAAGCAACCTTTTTCATCTCTTCGTTATCTTTCTCACTTTTAGGACACTACTTTTTGCTTAGCTTAAAATGCTCCGCAAGTGGAGTCGAGACTTCTTTAGCACCGCTCATGTTAAACCTATCAAGAACCTTCTCGATACACTTCTCTTGAGATACCCAAAGCTTCCCATTCTGTCTGTCACGAGAAATCTTCATCCCAAGGATCTGTCTAGCCGGACCCAAATCTTTCATCGCAAAGGACTTATTCAACTCCTTTTTCAACCTGACAATCTTTGCAGTATCATGACCAACAATCAACATGTCATCGATATAAAGCAAAAGAATTATAAAATCACCATCAGTGAATTTCTTCAAAAACATACAGTGATCAGCTGTAGTCCTTTGGTATCCCTGCCCTATCATAAAGGCATCAAACTTCTTGTACCACTGCCTCGGAGCTTGCTTCAACCCATACAAGCTTTTGTTGAGACGACATACAAGCTTCTCTTTCCCCTTCTCCTGAAACCCATCTGGTTGCTCCATGTAAATCTCTTCTTCTGAATCACCATGTAAGAAGGTTGTCTTCACATCAAGCTATTCAATCTCAAGATTCAAGCTGGCTACTATCCCAAGCACAACTCGGATCGAAGACATCTTTACAGCAGGAGAATATCTCATCAAACTTTATGCCCTTTCTCTAATTGAATCCCTTCTCAACTAATCTAGCTTTGTACCTCGGTTGTGAGCTGTTCTCACTTGTCTTCAGTCTGAACACACATTTATTCTTGAGTGCTCTCTTGCCCTTAGGCAGCTTCACCAGGTCATACGTGATATTCTCATGCAAGGGTTTGATCTCATCTTGCATGGCTGCTATCCACTGATCTTTTTGCTCATGACTAAGAACCTCTTCATATGACTCTGGTTCTCCCCCATCAGTAAGCAACAAATACTCATGAGCACTGTACCTAGTGGAAGGTTTCTTGTCTCTGGTGGACCTCCTTGGCTGGACAGGAGGTGATGAAACCGGTGGTGTCTCTGTTTCAGAAGTAGGATCATCATCAAACTCACCATTCTGCTCTGTCTCAGCTCCCTCTTCAGGAGAATCATCTAATTGTGGAGGAACTAGATCTAGATCAACAGGAATCTCATATGAAGATTCCGGCATCTCGCTCTTTCCCATATCATCAATGGTCTGGTCTTCAAAGAAGATCACATCTTTGCTTCTGAAAACTTTCTTCTCTACAGGATCTCAAAGTCTGTACCCAAAATCATCATTGCCATACCCCAAGAATATACACTGCTTGGATTTTTCATCAAGTTTCGACCTTTCGTCTTTTGGAATATGAACAAAGGCATCTTTCCCTGTCCAAACTCGTTGTGGTAGATCACCATCCAACGGAACTGAGGGAGATAGGTTGATCAAATCAACTGTTGTCTGCTTGGCTTCACCCCAAAAAGATTTAAACAGCTTTGCATTCAAGAGTGTACACCTAACCTTTTCGGTAATAGTTATGTTCATTCTTTCTGCCACGCCATTCTGTTGCAGTGTCTTCGAAACACTCTTCTGAAGTTTAATGCCATGGTCTCAGCAATACTTCTATAATGGACCCCTGTACTCACCACCATTATCTGCTCGAACACACTTCAACTTCTTGCCAGCCTCTCATTCAACTCTAAGGTGAAAGTCTTTGAACACATCTAATACCTGATCTTTAGATTTCAAAGAAAAATACCAAACCTTTCGAGCATAGTCATCAATGAAAGTAACAAAGTACAATTTCTCAACCTAACAACCTATCTTTCATGTAACATACATCTGTATGAACTAACTCTAGATGAAGGAAAATTTTGAAAGGAAACCCTATGTTGTTTACCATAGATACAGTCAACACAAGGTTCTAGAGCAGTACCTTTCACCTCAGGGAGAAATTGCTTCTTACTAAGAATCTGGAGCCCCTTGACACTAATGTGTCCAAGTCTTCTATGCCAGAGATCAATGGAGGCATGGTGAGTTGCATTCACCTCTCCATTCTTCAACTTTGCATTCAACACATACAAAGAGTTCAACTTCTTTCCTCTAGCAATAGCAAGATTCCCTTTGGTAATTATCCAACGACCACCACCTTCAGTGCTATGATAACCGTCATTATCAAGTTTTCCAACGGAAATAAGGTTCAAACGCATATCCAGAACATGTCTGACATTCTTCAAGACAAGAGTACAACTTGTATTCGTTACCAATGATAACTCTCTCATGCCGACAACATCGCATGAGGCTTGATTGTCCATTCTTACACGACCAAAATCTCCAGGTGTGTAAGAGGTAAAGAAGTGTCTGTGAGGCTTTACATGATAAGACGCACCTAAATCACTGAACCAATCATTGTCGTGACTCGCAACATTAATTGTTCATCATCACAGTATTAACAGAATTAGCAAATCTTTAAAGATTTGCTATTCATAGTTGGCAGATTTTATTATTCTAATAGTTGTTATTTTTTAGCTGTAAATATTTAAAATTTAAATCTAGGATATGATTAGATTCAGATATGTATCTATCTGTTTGTTAGGCTAATACCTACCCTATATAAAGAGGGTTCTCCAACAAAGGAAAGACATCTATTTTCCACAGAATCTCAGTTCTCCTCTCTCACAAAAATTTTTTACTTCTTTTCATGATAAAATCTCTTATTTTAACACATAGTACACAAATACATCACTGGTAGTTACTATTGCAGTAGTGTCATCATCACTTGATTCATCCTTCTTGCCTTATACCTTTTCTCGCTGTTAGTTCTCTCTTGAAAACCCTGCACTCTCTCTTAAAGTGTCATTCCCTTGACAATGGTAGCACACGACATCTTTCTTGGATTTAGACCGTCCTCTGGACTTGTCATTCCAATCAGTGGCCCTCTGCTTTTACTTCTCCCTCTTCTATCTGACTTTTCTATCACCAGAACCTGCGACTCAGACTCAATACTCTGCTCTTTTTTTCTGACTTCTTCATCAAAGCCTCTTTGACCTGATCTAAGGTCAAGACACCATCTTAGGTTGAATTACTGATTGACACTACCAAAGTGTCTCAACTGTCTGGAAGAGAACTAAACAATAACAAAGCCTGCACCTCATCATCCAACTTTAAACCTACATTCACTGCCTGGTTCAACAAACCCTGAAACGAACTCAAGTGCTTATTCATTCTAGCACCATCTTTTTACCTCAACCTGGTAATCTGTTTCAGTGCAGATGACTTATTGATGCCAGAATTCTTCCAGTACATATTCTGGATTGTCTCCCAAAGTTCATCAGCTTTTGTTTCTCCCGAAAAGTGATGAAACACACTTTGATCAATCTACTGTCGAATATTACCAATATTTTTTCTGTGCATATCAGCCTACTTTTTTATCAGTCATATCACTTGGCCTACCTTCATCCCCTAGAACATGGTTAAACAAATCTTTTGCAATATAGCAAATCTTCCATTCTAGGCTTCCACATATGATAATTGGATGAAGTCAATTTAATCATCGTACCAGTACCCGATGACTCTCCCATTTTATTGTTGTAAAACCTCAACTACCGAACCGTACCTATGATGCCACTGTTGTGGCGGAAAGGGTATAAACAGAACAAACCAGCAGAAACGATTCCCAGGAAAAACTCCTTTCTTACTACCAATAAAATAGGACAACCAAACAAGTAAAATAATTCAACAACTGATAAAATAAAGGAGGCACACAAATTTAAGTGGAAACCCAAATTTGGAAAAACCATGGGACTGTAACCACAGTCAAATCTTCACTATCACAATAATGGGAAACAATCTTCACCAATCGGTGGATACACAGGACTTCACCCAAAGGTGGATTACAATAATACTCTTCAACACAAACCTAAACCACAAAGTAGGATTGAAAGAATATTACCAAAAGAGAGCTAAAATGAAAACTAAACCGGAGGATTTGTAGATCTTGTTGAGAGGAACACACATGCAAACGTGCACCAATAACGACTCTGTTTCGTCACCCGATCAAAGTCTTAAAGTGAAACACTTTCTTCTCGCAACACTTAAACCTCAAAACTAGCTTTTCACTCTTTTTCTCCCTCGCACAAAACCAATGTGCGGCTACTGTTTTCTTTGGCCGAAATTCACGTCCAAAAGCACACCTCCAAACCTTCTGCGGAGCCTTGCTTTTATAAGCATAAAAAACAAACCCAAATTGGAATGGGTTGTTTTCCTTGGTCAACTCCAAAACCAAAGCCTAATTAGGCTTGGTTTTGTTTCCTTTTTGTTGGCCCAATTGGAGGGGAACCGGGCCCAACAATATAAAACATAATTAAGTTGCAAGTCTCGTAGTTTGGGAAGATAAATGGTACCAGGGACCTCAACCAGGAAAGGTCCTTGCAAGCTGAGAGATTTTAATGTCTTAGAAGTGAAAAGGGAAACTGGTAGTTGAATAAGCTCATCATCATAATGGGGAGATTCATCAATGATACCAATAACCTTAACATTCCGAGCAATTGCTTCGCTTATCCATTTACTAAGGTTAGCTGGATCAATGTAGTCGTCCTTGGACCAGTAGAGATGAAAATTGTCCAGTTTTTCAAATTCCAGTTGAATCATCAAAACCTTGTCGACAGTTTCCTCAAAATCCTCGAAGTCATTGCCATTATTATCCAACCAAAAGGTGTTAGCTTTAGTCCAGAGGAATTGCCAACTTTTTGATAAAGTGCTAGTTGCAACAGCCTTATTTGTGTGCGAGAATGATAGAATGTAGCAAATAATTGACTCCGTCAGATTGCTTATCCTATCATCAAAGGGACTTGCATCACTGCCAGGAGAGGACTGGGGATTCTCTGAAGAAGAAGCCATCGATTCAATTGAGCTTCCCGTAGGCTACAATCATGTTTTTTCCAAGGAGAGATATCTAGTCCCACACTGAAATATTAACCAAATCGGCTCAGTTCTAGACTATGTTTCAGATTTTAGGAAACAAAAATAGAATTACAATACAGGGAAACAAACTTGTGAATCTAACTCAACTAGGCATAGGCCACACAAAACTCAAGAGCTTCCAAAAGAAAATTTAACAAATACAGAAAAAATTAAGTGTTTAAGCAAAACCACACTGGAAGCGGGCCACAAAATCTCAAATTCGCGGATGCCAAAAGACCACCAAACCACAAACCCTAAAGCAATAATCACATAACCCTATATTTCGAAGTAAAATCCAACAATAAGCACCAATCAATCCAACAGACTTACATTCTCAAAGAAACATACTGTAACTCAAACTTTAAGGTTAAGAAACTCCAACGCGAACACAATTGCGATAGATTACAAGCAAAAAAAAAATCTGAACTAAAATAAATGATAAAAAATGAAAACTCCAAAAAGAATTCACCTCCTACTTCCAAGGAACAACGCTTCTTGCAAAGAATACAGAAACTTTTTCAAATTGAAATAAACCCTCCCTCCGTCTCTGTGAATCAAAAGCTTTCGGCAATTTGAAATTATGTTTGGTGACGATGACAAGGAGAATCTCACGCTTCAGAAGATTTATAATTCATTTTAGGGAAAATTGTATCAGTGCGACGTCGTCCAGCGATGCGACTGAGTCAATTGGAATTTTACGAAACTTTCTCCCTCTTTCCTTATGTTACCATTATCTATTAGCAACTGTAATCAGTCTAGTAATTTTCTAAAAGCTTCCTTGTAGTATCTGTTGCATTGCTGGCAGTTTGTGACTCACCTTAAAGATATGCTCCAGTCTTGTACGAGAGTTTCAGGAATGAATTTGGAGATCTTTTTGTTCTATCCTCTCTGTCAAATATTCTTTTTCACTCTCTTCTTCCCCTGCTACCTTTAATCCTCCAAAATTTGCACTCTATTTCTGGATTGTAATTCCTCATTTCATTACATTTTGCTATCAGAGCTGCGATCTTCCGACTGTGGTGAGTGGCCATGGTAGAAACTCGTGGAGTTGGGGGCGATGACCATGTGAAGAAGATGGTCAAAGATGCCGTTTCTTCCTTAGAAAAAGGGTTGAGAACAACATTTAATCCTTGGATGTGAAGCTGATTAACATGGATAATGCCTTGTTGAGTTTGAGAACTCAAATAGAGAACATCCAAGCAGAATCTAAGCAATCGAAGGCAAGGTGGGAAAGAATTGAATCTTGGATGCAATCAATGGCGAAGGAGAAATTTGTGTTTAAAGGAGAATCGTCTATTACAGATCCAGAAAAGTCGGCGCTTTTAAACACTGTCAGCATACCACCCAGGGTGTTGGTTGAAGATGATACCCCTTGGAATTCTAAGGACCGCTACCACAAGAATTTTTCAAGGTGGAGTTGAGCACTTTTGAAGGTGAAAACCCCAGGGAGTGGATTAGAAGATGTGAGAAGTATTTTGAATTATATCAGATTTCGGAGAATGCAAAAGTGAGTACAGCGGAGTTGTGTTTGAATGATAAGGCTGAAATTTGGTTTGAAGGGGTCAAAACAGCCAGAGGAAGGTTGAATTGGGAGGAATTCTCTACTGTGTTGGTTAGAAAGTTTGAAATCAGAGGGCGTAAAGATGACTTTGAAGAATTCAATAAGCTGCAACAACGTGGTTCGGTTTCGGAATACATCGAGCAGTTTGAGAATCTCAAATCTCAAGTGTTGAGAAAGGATCCAAGATTGACTGAGCAATAATTCATTTTGAGTTTTATAAGCGGATTGAAGGAAGAAATTAAATCGGTGGTAAGAATGATGGCTCCCAGAGGCTTAGTAACAGCCATGGAAATCTCAATACACCAAGAGATGACTCTGGATTTCCAAGTGGAGAAGGACAATTCGAACCCTGTAAGCCACCACAAATCGCCTTTGGTTCCTAGGAGACAAAACACCCCGAGAGTGGGATGGAAACCTGAGGAAAAGAAGATAGCTTTCAATGATAAGTTCAAAAGAATCTCACCCAAAGAAATCCAGTACAAAAGAAACCATAATCTGTGCTACAAATGTGGCGAAAAATACGGTCATGGCCATCAATGTAGCATGAATAAGGTTTATCTGATTGTGACAGAAGAAGATGAATTGGAGCCTCCAGATCTGGAAGTATTTGAGATGCCAGAGGAAGAAATCGTCACAGAGGGGGTCAGAAGGTTGTATCTTCACGCCTTGGATGGGAAGACAAAGAGGAGAACAATCATAGTCAGAGGAAAAATCAAAGGTATGTGGGTCAATATATTGACTGATACGGGAAGTACGTCCAGTTTTGTTGATCCCAGTTTTGTGAGAACTTTGTCCTTGCATTATCACTCTGTGGAACCTTTTTGTATTAAAATGGCTGATGGAAACACCTCTGTGGGATCATTCATGTGTCCGGAGTTGGGTTGGAATATTCAACAGTACGAATTTTCTTTTGATTTTAAAATTATGAACCTAAGTGGATTGGACATTATCTTGGTGTTGATTGGATGTCAAACTTCAGTCCTGTGATTTTTTATTATGATCACGATAATATCCAGTTGATAAGAGGAGATAGACGGTACATCTTATGGGGGAATTCAAGACCCCTCAGTTAATATGATCCAAACCGACGATCTTAAAGATTACTTGGAGCTTAAGAAGAGAGAGTGGTATGGCAGGTCTCACTACATGCTGGAAAGGAATTTTGCCCTGACGAATGAGAGAAAGATCAAACTTCCAGACGTCTTAGAGTCCTTAATTAGCCAATTTAGTATTGTTTTCTCTGTTTCCAAAGGATTACCCCCCCATCAGAGAAATTGAGCATCGTATTGAACTCAAAGAAGGCTCCCAACTTTTCAAAGTGAAACCCTACCGCTACCCACACGCACAAAGAGGAGATTGAGAGGCAGGTTGACAGTATGCTCGAAAACAAGATCATCAGGAATAGTAGTAGCACTTACTCTTCTCCTGTTTTGTTGGTTCCTAAGAAAGAAGGGGAGTGGCATTTTTGCACAGATTATAGAAGGCTCAACGAACTTACCATCAAAGACAAATATCCCATACCCGTCATTGAAATGAGGAGCTAATAGATGAATTAAATGGAGCCAGTTATTTCTCCAAGCTTGATCTCAGATTCGGGTATTTCCAAATACGAATGAGACCCCAAGATATAGAGAAAACGGCGTTCCAAACTCACCACGGGCATTACGTTTGGTGATGCCTTTCGGGCTTACGAATGTCGTGGCTACATTTCAGTCCCTGATGAAAAGTGTATTCAAAAAGTTGATCAGAAAGTGTTTTCTTGTTTTTTACGATGATATACTCGTGTATAGCTCCACATGGGAGGAGCACCTGGAACACCTCCAATCTGTGTTGCGCATTTTGCATGACCAGCAGCTTTACGCCAAGATGAGCAAATGCATATTCGCCCAGAGAAGCGTAGAGTATTTGGGACATGTTATCTCTGCCCGAGGAGTCAGCATGGATTTAGAAAAAGTTAAGTGCATTCAGAATTGGCCTCAACCTCAGACAGTGAAAGAGTTGCATGGATTCTTGAGACTGACGGGCTATTACCGCAGATTCATACAAAGGTATGGATTGATTAGTAAATCCCTTACTGTTTTGTTGCAGAAAGGTTACTTTTCATGGAATGATGAAGCTAAATTGCTTTTGAAAAGCTTAAAAAGGCTGTCATATCAGCACCTGTTTTAAGCGTGCCGAATTTTTCCAAACGTTTTATCATCGAAACCGATGCTTGTGATTCTGGTATGGGAGCGGTATTGATGCAGGATAATCATCCCATTGACTATTTGAGCAAGGCTTTTAGTGCAAAAAACTGTGGCTTGTCTATGTACAAGAAAGAGTTACTAGCTGTAGTAATGGTTGTCACAAAATTGAAATATTATGTTGTAGGAAACCATTTCGTTCTGAAAACGGATCACCAGGCTCTCAAATTTTTGCTAGAGCAAAAGTTAACTACTTCAATGCAACACAAGTGGTTAATAAAATTGCTTGGACTGGATTACGAGATCCAATACAAAAAGGGAGCTGAGAATAAGGTAGCGGATGCACTGTCTAGGCTGAACAACAAGCAAGGAAACGATAATACAGTCCAACAGGAAGAAGGCATTGGCTGCAATGCAATTTCCTCAGTCCAGCCAAGTGGATAGTGGAAGTCGAGATTAGTTATGAAGGCGACGAAGATGCGCAGCAGATCATGGCGGCATATGCTGTCAACCCCACTAAAACGTCTGAATATCAGGTGATCAATGGGATCTTGAAGAAAGCTGGAAAAATCTCGTAGGCAAATATGGGGACGTGAAGAAAAGGATAATGGAGACCATGCATTCATCTCCCATTGGCGGGCATTCCGGGCAGACTGCATCATTGCTTCGAATCAGGTCCCTATTTTTCAGGCCTAAACTAAAACAAGAAGTGGAGAATTTCATGAGAACATGCGAAGTTTGTCAGCGAAGCAATGGAGAACAAGTCAAGTATCCCGGTCTTTTGCAACCCTTGGAGATACCGCAAAAAGCTTGGCGACATATCTCTATGGATTTCACAGAGAGGCTGCCGATGTCAGAGCACAAAAATGACACCATTCTCGTCGTTGTAGACAGGTTTACGAAGTATACTCATTTCTTTGCCCTCACCCATCCCTTCACTGCATCCACCATAGCGGATCTATTCCTTAAAGAGGTTTACAAACTATAAGGGCTACCAGAAACGATAGTCAGTGATCGTGATAAAATTTTCACGAGCCATTTTTGGGGAGAATTGTTCAAATTGCCGAATGTACAACTAAGCATGAGCATGGCGTATCACCCTCAAAGTGACGGCCAAACCAAGAGGGTAAATCAGTGCTTGGAGAGCTATCTAAGATGTTTCGCCGGTGTTAAACCCTCAACTTAGTGTAGAT